AGCCTGACCCTGACCTGCCAGGGGGTGGCCTGCACCGCTGCCTGGCCTGCGCGTGAGTCCCGGCAGAGCCCGGCCTGGGGCGGAGGCGCGTCCGCGGCACCGGCCTGCAGATGTGAGGCCCCGGCCCGGGCCGCGCGGGGTCTGGCCCCCTGGCACCCGTGGGTGTGCCCTCCTCCCGTCCCTGCAGGGAGGGACGCCCGGAGCCCGGCGTCAGGGAACGAGCCGGATCTGGGAGATAGGCGTGCTCGAGAGGCGTCGCCTTCTCACAGTCCTCACCTCCCATCCCTACAGGAGGTACTTCATCGACTCCGCCAACCTGAAGACCCACTTCCGATCCAAAGACCATAAGAAAAGGTATGAAGGATTCAGGAGAGGACTGATGGGGGGTGTGTACAAGCAGGGCTCGCCCCGGCTCAGCTCCCAACTCGTGTTCTTTCTCCCAGGCTGAAGCAGCTGAGCGTGGAGCCCTACAGTCAGGAAGAGGCCGAGAGGGCAGCGGGTATGGGATCCTATGTGCCTCCCCAGCGCCTGGCAGTGCCTACAGAAGTGTCCACTGAGGTCCCAGAGATGGACACGTCTACCTGACCGGCCTGAGGATGCAGGGCAGGGAGCTGCCCGTGGACAGTGACACAAGGACACAAGGGGAGAGTGTGCCAACCTCCTTTGGCCCCCGGTTTGCGGAGTGGATGGCCTCTGGGATGCTCACCCCCCTAATAAAGGATCTGGACGAAGAGGGTCAGCCTTAGTCTGTAACTTCTAGGCCACAGCCCAAACTCCTGCCCTATAAGGGTTTCTCTCCTGCTTTCTGCCAAAGGTACAGGGCCCAGGGTGACTGCCCCCCACTTGCCCCTGCTTCTTCTCTGGGGTCCCCAGGTGGAGCCCAGGCGCAGTGTGGAGTAGGGGAGTGGGATCAGATTCATTATTCTGCTTCCAGTGAGGGCAGGGCCTGATCCCCAGAAAGAAAGCTCCCGGGCTGCAGCCACCTCCCTTCGGTCACCTACCAGAGCTCAGGTGAGAGGCTACCCTCTTCCTCACGGGGCCTGTGGCGGCTACCCTCAGGGGCCCTGGGCGGCCTGCCGCTGCCCCACCATCTTCCATACTGCATAGCAGGAGCCACCCAGCCCAAGGACAGCGAGCAGCGTGGCCACAATCCCTGTCAGCGGACTCCGGGGCTCTGCCTTCAGCTCCCCAGCTACCTGCATCTGGGGTGCAGAGAGCGAGGGGTCAGTTGAGACCTCAGAGAAAGCGGAGGGTGGGAAGGGGCTGAGAAGGCGCAGCTGGGTGGAGGAGGCGTGGATGCCATTGCTGCCCCGGGGAGATTCCACCCCAATCCCTCTCGCTTCACTGCCCATCTGGGCCCTGGCTGCTCAGGCGGCAGGGAACGTGACAGCCCGGCGGTCTGGGGTATCAACCCAGTCCTGGCAGGGGAGAAGGGGGTCGGAGTGCCGGAAGCCATCATTTAGGGGCACTTACCTGTAGCACTCGGAAGTAGCCAGGGGTCAGGCGTCGGAATCGCATGGTGGGGGTCGCTGGTCTCCCTGGCGGCCTATGGGGTGAGAGCGGACCAGTGGTGAGGACCAGTGGTGTTCCAAGAAGCAGGAAGTGGTATAGAGATCACTGACCTCCTGCAGACAGAAGACCCGCACCCTCAGAGGATGCTCACTGTCCCCTGCGCCTGCGTGCCTAGGTCTGGCAGGGGGCGGGGCAGCTGGACCTTTAAATCGGGTCCCTTCCCCCTGCCGCTTGCGTCCTGCCAGCCTTAGGAGCAGCTGTCAGGAGAGATCAGCATCAGGCCTGAGCAGCACCTCCCCCACCACCCGGGACTGGGGCGGCAGGACAGGCCCTGGCTGGCCGTGCCCAGGAGTCCCAGGCCTGGACCAGGTACTGGGCACGCCTGCTCAGCCCAGGTCCAGGCCTGATCCCCACCAATCAGCACTCAGCAAGGGGAAGGGTGCCTCTGCCCTGGTAAGTGCCTATCCCACTCAGTTTCTGTGGGATCCCCCGGCCTGCCTTGAGGGAGGCACGTTTCACCCTTCTCTGTAAGACCCAGTTCCTGCAAAGACTTCCTTACTCTCACGCTTGGGCTGAAAGCAGATTCGCAGGCCAGCAGGTGGCATGGTAGTTAAGGCACTGGATTCCCACATGGCCAACCAAGGTTCGAGTCCTGGACCCAGTGGTTTTGAAAATCGCACCGTGAAGGGCCCAGCAGTTGGCATAATAGGTAGGTCACTAGACTCCCATGTAGTTGACCGCAGTTCGAGTCCTAGACCAGGCAACATAAAACTCACACCAGGCACATGTGCATGTGTACCCAAAATCCCGAGAGGAGAATGGAGGAGAAGGGATTGCGGCATGGCCATCCCCCTGGGGGGTGATTTTTTGCCTTCTGTCTCTCTGTCTCTCCAGTGAGTGCACATGCCTTATAGCAAAAAACTCTCTTTAAAACAAAAAAAAGAGGGGCGGTAGGTGGCGTGGTGGTTAAAGGCGCTGGACTCCCACATGGCCGGCCACAGTTTAAGTCCTGGATCTTGTAGCTGGCTTTCTCACTTTCCCTCTCTGTCTCTCTCTGATCAAACTGGAAAATTATAATAGTAATACTTTGTGTTAAAAAAAGTAAAAGAAAAAAAGAAAATCACACCATGTGCATGTGTGCCAAAAATCCGGAGTGGAGAATAGAGGACAAGTGGATGTGGCTGTAGCCGTCCCCCCAGTCCCTCTTTTTTTGGGGGGGTGTAGAGGTTTTTGCTATAGGTTGCGTGTGCTCACCAGAGACAGAGACAGAAAGCGAGAAATCACCCCCAAGGGGGGATGGCCATGCCACAGTCCCTTCTCCATTCTCCGTGCAGGATCTTGGGTATGCCTGCACATGTGCCCAGCAAGCTACTGGGTCCAGGACTTGAACCGCTGTCGACTACACGGGAGTCCAGCGATATAGCCATCACGCCAACTGCTGGTCCCTCACTTTCCCTCTTTCTGTCTCTCTCCAGTAAGCACATGCACTCTACGGCAAAAAAAAATTTTTTTAATAAAATAGATTCACACATACTGATTAGCTAAGAAAGTTGTCCATGATTTGTTAAAACAGTAACTGATGGGGCAAGCAGGTAGTGTGGTGATTAAGGTGCTGGACACCCACATGGTTGACCACAGTTCAAGTCCCAGACCTGGCGACTGGAAAACCACACTGGGGATGTGCACTTGTGTGCCCAGAATCTCAAGAGGAGAATGGAGGAGAAGGGACTGTGGCATGGCCATCCCCCTTAGGGGGTAATTTCTCACTTCCCCTCTCTATCTGTGTCTTTCTGGTGAGCACACACAGTTTATGGAAAAAACCTAAAAACACTCACACATGCACGCACACACACAAATAAAGTAACTGACTGCTGGTCATTTATTTTAACTAATTCTTATTTATTTATTTAAATGAATTTTTTTATTAGCAGTTGTCCCATGTTCTCAGTACGTGAATGCAATGTGTAATGGGTAAATTAGTGTGACTAGTACATGGGTTGGCTCCACCATTTATAATGTTACATGTAGGGCGTTGTGGACCACGCTCTCCCCACCGTATTTTATAACACTGTTCCTCCCATCTGTGTGCAATTGTTTTCTATTAACCAACATCCATCTATTCCTCACCGTCCTCAGCATCCAGTAGGTATCCTACTGCTCCCTGCTTTTTAAAAATATGTATTTATTTATTTAATTCTACTTGTTATTACTATTTTTTAACTTGACCAGACAGACACAAGCAGAGGGAGAAAGGAAAAGCGAGAAAAGAAGTCTCCAGGTCCGGGACGCGAACCACAGTCAGCCATGTGGGAATTCCACGCCCTTAACCACCACGCCATCTGCCAGCCTCATCTTTTAAAAAAAAAATTTATTTATTATTATTATTTTAATTTGCTACAGGGCACATGTACTCAACGAAGAGAGACAGAGAGAGAGAGACAGTGAGAAAGCAACCCGCCAGATCTGGGACTGGAACCATGGCCGGCCATGTGAGGTCTAGTGCCTTAACCACCACGCCACCTGCCAGCCTCTCTCTCTACTTCTTTGAGGCAATTTTTTCCAATTTCCATACATGAGAGAGAACATGTGGTATTTCTCTTTTTGTACCTGGCTTCTTTCACCTAACATAATGTCCTCCAGACTCATTCATTTAACCTCAAATGGCTGGGTTTTTCCTTCATAATGACTGCATAGTATTCCATCGCACATGCATGTGTGCACGTTTTATTTATTCACTTCTCCATTCATGGACTCAGGGTGCTTCCCTATCCTGGCCATAACCCGTTACAGCACGCCGAGTCCCTTCCTTTTGGATCTGCCCAGCAGTGGGATTGATCAATACGTGTCAGTTCTAGTCCCGGTGTCGAGGCCTCTCCGTGCTGTGCTCCACGGCCGTGCTCACTTACGGTCCCACCGACAGTGTAAGAGTGCCGGTCCTTGTGCTGAGCACTTCCCAGTATTCTTTATTTGGAGTCAGAGAACTCCTAAGAGGGAAAAGTCGCATTCACACCTCTGTAGAATACACACGTAGAGAGAACAGAAGACCAGGAACCCGATGGCGCCCTGCTGCAAACGGGCGTGTCTTCTCGTCGTGACCTGCTGTTACCCTGGGAGTGCTTACAGCAGGTCTGTGGGACTTCCATGTTCATAAAACCCTCTGAAATACTGGGTTGTCAGGAAAGTCACGACGTGGGCCAGCAGGTGGCGTGGTGGTTAAGGAGCTAAAATCTAACGTGGACAACTGCGGTTTGAGTCCTGGATCTGGGGCTTGCTTTCTCACCTTCATTCTCTCTCGCTCTCTGGTGAGCATATGTGCTTTATAGCAAATGTTAAACTAACAGTAAACAAAATTAAATAATTCTTAAAGAAAAAAGGTCATGACATAGTTTTTCTGTGCAGAAACGCATCATGACTTTTCTTACAACCCAGTAGGAGCCACTGCCTATCGTGTCCCTAAGTCCCTAGTCCTGTCGGATGCCGAGGGGACGGAGCTGTGATAGTATGGTGGTTGCTGGGCCCTAAATCCTTTAGGGGAGCGAGTATGTACTGCTCTCTCTCTCCAGGGTTGTGAGTTCAGGGAAAGCGGGGGCTGGCTGGCTGGGGCCTCGCTTCTTTTTTCTTTTTCCTTAAGATTTATTTAGGTTATTTGTTTTGTTTTGTTTTGTTTTGTTTTGTTTTAATTTGGTCAGAAAGAGGGAAAGCAAGCTACCTGGTCTGGGACTTGAACCACGGTCAGCCATGTGGGAGTCCAGCACCTCAAGCACCATACCACCTGTCAGCCCCAGGGGCTCTCCCTTCTGTACCTTTGAAAACAGATCTTTGTCTATGAAACACTCTGATAAGGCTCTTTTTTTTTTTTTTAGGTTTTTGCCATATTGCATGTGCGTTCTCTGGGGAGTGACGGAGACAGTGAGAGGGAAAGTGAGAAATCAGTCTCTGGGGGAATGGGCATGCTGCAGTCCCTTCTCTTTCTCCTCCTGGGATTTTGGGCATACATGTACCTGTGCTCAGTATGACTTCCAAGCTGCCAGGTCTGGGACTTGAACCATAGTGTTTCATGTAGTAATCCAGTGCCTTAACTGCCATGCCACCTGCTGGCCCCCTATTATTATAGAATTTTTTTAATTGTCAGAGGGCACACACATTTGTTAGAGGGAGAGAAAAAACACCCCCCAATGTGACATGGTCACACCACAATCCCTTTCCCTTCATTTATCCTTCCAGTCA